TTCTTGGACTGCCCTGGATTTGCCTTTGAAGTCACTTTGGACTTCACATAGGACTTCAGCTGTCCTTTGTCGGCCAGACGGTCGAGCTCCCGCTTGAGACTAAAGCAGTCGTTCGTGTCATGGCCAACATCCTCATGGAAATGGCAATGCTTGTTCTTGTTCCGATTTTCAGCGGAACCTTTCATAGCAGTCGGCTTTTCAAGAGTTAGCCGATCCTTAATTTCCAAAAGGATGGTGCAGCAGTCCTTGTGGAATTCGTACCTTGCAGCAGTCCACTCTTTTTTCTTCTTCTGGGCTGGTTGATCAGAGTTATCAATGGCCCAGACTTGCTTTTTCTTTTTTCTCTCTTCTGACTTAGGAGCCAGCTGAGCAGGTCGACTCTCTTTCTGCCGGTCGGACTTCTTATGGTCCGACTGCTTACTGGAGGAGCAGAGTTCGGTCGCCTGTATGTAGGCTTCCGCCTCTCGCAAGGCTCCTTGTAGGGTAAAGATTTGTTTGCGGACGAGTTCGTACTTAAAAGTAGACCCGTCCTTTAGACCCTTAAAGAAGTCTGTGAAGGCGACCTCATCAGACAGCCCATGAATCTGGATTCGGACCAGATTGAACCGCCTGACGTAGGATCGCAAACCTTCTCTATCTCCCTGCTGTACATTGCCCAAGTCAAGACTTGTCTTTTTGGCAGGGATGTTCATAGAGAAGTTTGATGCAAACAAGAACGCAAGCGTCTTGAAGCTATTTATGCAGCCAGCCGGCAGGTTGCCAAACCACTACTGGGCTATGCCCTTCAGGGTGGCTGGAAAGCAACGACACCATGCGGCATCATCCAACCCCTGTAAATACATGAGGTGGGTGTATGCCAACAGGTGGTCCTCTGGGTTGGAGGTCCCGTCATAGGCTCCAACCAGAATGTTTTTAACTTTAGCCGGCTACACAGCTTCAGTTATTTCTCCGGAGAAAGCAGAGGGTTGGTCTCCAAGGTGCTGCAGCCTAAGCTGCCAGTCCATCGGCTGATAGCCGTATGCCGCCTGTCCCCCGTAGAGGGTAGGCTGCATGTAAGGTACAACTGGCGCCTGGTACAATGGTTGTGCCATGTACTGGGCGGACTGAATCACATGCGGCCCAGACTGAACCCTTTGGCTGCTTGCTGGAGTCTCATGTACAGACTGTGAACACCGTACAGAGGTATTCCGAAAGCTATCATGATAAGTCGACGTTGAAGCCGACTCTGATTGCTGGGTTCACCTCTCCTCAATGTATTGCCGAGCGTCAGAGAACGTTTTCTTGCTACCATCCGACTGTATGTGCCGGATGGGTTTTCTTGCGCCCGTTTCTGGGAAACGGAGCCGATTGAGGTCAAATTGGGGCCTGGCCTTCTCCTTAGGAGCAGGATGAGGAGTCAGCTGACGGTCCCTGACCGACTTCTGTTTACCAGCTTGGGATGGCTTCTTGGCCGACTGCTCCTTTCTAGGAGTAGGCGACTTCTTTGAGGCGAGCTGCTTGATTTCACCCCTGAGGCTGCTCAGGAGTGACATTAGCTCATCCCGAGTGACGAGAGTTGATCCTGCCGCCTGGGAAGGATCAACCGGCCGCCCCGAGGGCTTCTTTGGCTGACCAACAGTTTTGCTTGGTCCTGCCTGAACATGGGGACGCTCTCGCCGTTCCTTACTGCGGATGCGTTTAGAGATGAGGGATCCATTTGGATCCACATAGGTTTCGACATCAGCGTCGTCACCTGAGTCATGGTCCGTTTGGTCCAGTACATCATTTGGAGGCCGAATGGCCTCCGGATTTGGTACAGGTTCTTGTGAAGCCATTTCAGAGGTACTCTCCCCACAGACGGCGCCAAATGTTTCGGGGTTTTTTGTCCCTCGGGAGAGTTACAACACTGAAACTGGATTCAACTGAGGACGCCTGTACCTGCAAAGAAAACGGACCTCCGGATGGTTGGGGGTCCGCCTCCGAAGATTAAGTCAGCAAACGTTCGGAAATAAAACGTGCGGAAGTAAATTTATCTGCTTGGATTCCAAGCTCAGGTAAAGTGAGATAAGTGACGTATTGTCTCGTATTGCGTGTCAAAAATTCTCTCTCTGTCATAAATGACATAATGTCCCTATTTATAGGGTCCTTTTGAAAAGTGTGCCTTCCTAGGATCTGGTGACCTAGTAATTAGGTCACGCCGTTTTGCGGCGCCTCGGGATTTGGGCCTTAGAAGGCCGCCATCCCAGGGCCAATGCCTGAGTGACACGTGTCACTGTGCCCAAAGGATTTTGAAGCACTTTTTGTGTGACACGTGTCGCCACCTGAATGGTCCCTGTTGGACCTTCAGTCCACGTAGGACGGAGAAGAGTCCACCCTCCACGTGTCATCATTCCATAGGTCCAAATGGCACCTATACGGAGGACACGTGGCACTTTCTGATTAGGCCACCTGGCCGGGTATAAAATACCCAAATCAAGATGCATTTTTATTTCAGTTTATTATCATTGCTTTACTTTGTGAATGTGCTACTTGTTTAAGCGGGTTATCCTAGTGATTCTTAAATGGTCAGTTTAGTATTAGCAAGAGGTTTGCTATTGATAGCTTGGTTCATTGTTGGATTTTTCACGCTTTATTGTGCGTAGGCTTGAACTTAAATGTGTTTTGATTGGAATAGAAATTTATTTTTCTTTATGTCCAATGTAGAACTATTGGTTGGTATGAACTCACGTGTTGGATAATTTTCGTTTTTGTTTTTTAAAAAATGATTCTTATTGAATTACAATGGCTTTATTAGAAATATGTATGTTTACGGGGTTATGATAATCTTTCAAACATTAATTTGTATTATGGTTCTATAGTGTATTTTGTAAATTATTTTATTTTTTCATAAAGGGTTACATGTGGTTTATTTTAATATTTTGATTTTTGTTAGCAAACTCCCATCTTTGTTAACTACACAAATCATATTGCTTCTTTGATTTTATTAATGTTACATCAATTTACTTTGAAATTGGATAAATATAATTTATTAGTGTAAGTTATAAATTATTTAATCAATATTGTAAATTATATATAATAAGTATTTTAGAAAACATGTTGTAAAAATTATAAATATTTATCAAGTTAAAAGCATGTGACATAACATATGTTTAAATCTCTTAATAAAGAATGTGAAATCAGCTTTCTTGTTCAAGTCATGATAATGACCTTTGGATATCATTTCGATTCTAATTGTATCGTATGCCATTATTGTAATGATATAAGTTCAGTGTGAACGATTAATGTGATTTGTTTTTCATAGTGTTGTAGAATTTGTCACCATGAAAAGGAAAGAGCGTTGGTGGATGTACGATAGATACGATGGCGGTAATGCCCGTAGAATTAGGCAAGAGTTTGTGGATGGTGTTGAAAAATTCATACGGTTTTGTGAAGCTCACCGTGAGAGCCCGGGCATAGATGAAGTAAGATGCCCTTGTCTGTTATGTAAGAATAGACGTCTTCATGATGCCAACACAGTAAAACCCATTTGTACAAAAAGGGGTTTATACCTGATTACTATGAGTGGGTTTCTCATGGTGAAGGGTTCCCTACACCAAGTGTAAAGCAACCAAATACTTACCGTGAAATGGTTCTCGATGCTCTTGGGAGTAATCATGAACCACAGGGTGACGATAGTACTAGTGGTTCAGATGAAGAGCCAAATGCTCAAGCAAAAGCATTTCAAGAGCTTTTAAAGGCTGTCGAGCAACCACTTACGAAGGTAGCTCCATGTCTGTGCTAGAAATGGCATCTTGAATTGTATCTTTGAAGTCGGAATACAATTTTCCCCATAGGTGCGTTGATGGGTTTGCTTCATTACTGAACGAAGCGATTCCCAACAATAATAAGATGGGGAAAACATTCTATGATACAAAGAAGATTCTTAACGGACTTGAGCTTCCGCACGAGAAGATCCATGAATGCCCAACCTCGATGTCATGCATATTGAAAAGAATTTCTTTAACCAACTAATTCACACAGTGATGGATGTGAAAAAAACATACTTCAGACACAGTTGCATCTAGAATTAACATTGCCAAATATTGCAAATGACCACAACTACATGTGATAGAGGATGCGAGAGGGAAATACACTTTGCCAAAAGCCCCATTCTCACTCGACAAGGCTAAAAAGAAAGTGTTATGTGAGTGGGTAAGCAACTTGAAATTTCCCGATGGTTATGCTTCTAATTTGAGTAGATGTGTAGATTTACAATCATGTAAGCTTCATGGTTTAAAAAGCCACGATTGTCATGTCTTCATGGAGAGATTGTTGCCAGTTGCTTTGAAGGAATTGCTCTCGGTCCATGTTTGGAAAGCTATTACTGAGATTAGTCTTTTCTTCCGTGATCTTTGTTGTTCCACCATCAAATTGAGTGATATGGAAAGATTGGAACACAACATTGCAGAAATTCTTTGTAAGCTCGAGAAGATATTTCCACTAGCGTTCTTCAACTCTATATAACACTTACCAGTTCACTTACCTTATGAAGCTAGGTTATGTAGTCCTGTCTAATATCATTGGATGTATCCGTTTGAAAGGTTTTAGCTCCGAAAAACTCATAGCCGCCATTTTCGTTTATACACCTATAGTTGTTTGCATATCACTAGTAGAAAAAATGCTTTTTGTAATGCCCTATTAGTAACTGGCATATGTTATGCTAGTTACGAAAGCATCAGTAGTAACCGACTAAAATAATGTCAGTTATAAATTTCATGACATTAGTAACCTGCATAGTAAATGTCAGTTACTAATATGTGGTTTATCATTGTTTGAAATTTTATTAGTAACTGACTAAATAAATGCCAGTTATAAATATTAAGTCAGAGAACCTTTGACTAAAAAATTTGTTTCTAGTTTGCAAACATCAGTTACAAATATTAAGTCAAAAAAAGTTTGACCAAAGCGTTTGTAACTAGCTTACAAACGCCAGTTACAAAAATTAAGTCAAAGAAAACTTTGACCCAAAAGTTTGTAACTACTCGTAGCTTACAAAAAATGTCACTTATAAATATTAAGTTAGTACTATCTTATATCAAAAAAAAAAAGTTAGTACTTCCTAATAATTTTATTTAATTTTTATTGAAGTTAGAAGAAATAAATTTTTTTTTAAACAAACAAAAGACTTAAACAATATCCCACCACTAGAGTCCTCCTAGATCCCTAACCTCTCGCTTTTGAGTATAATCAAATTTCCCCAATTTGTGTGCTCGATTCATCAATCTTTAATTCAATTTGTGAGTTTCAATCAATCCAAATGTCAATCTCAACTCGTACTAAAGAACCCTAATCATTAAAACAGTTACCCTTTTCGTTGGATCTTTGTTTTTAATTACTTCCTTCTACAGTTCAATTCGTGAGTTTCAAACAATCTTGTCAGTCCATACGATTTGCTAGAATATTCATCTGGTAAAATTTTTCGCATGATTATCTTCGTTTTTGTTAGATTTAACCTTTTAATTTGCCCAATAACTCTGAGTCGATTCTATTTTTTAATCGAATTTTTCAACCTTATATATTGAATTTCGCTATATTGATTGAAATAATTAAAACCTTTTGTCCAGAATATTTTGAGTATGCCCATATGTAACAGCCTGTTTTGGTTTTTTTTTTTTTCATTTGTTTATTGAAAATTTTTCAACCTTATATATTGAATTTCGCTATATTTATTGAAAATTTGTCATGAACATTAATAGTTATTTTTCATTCCTTCTTGTTAGGCACGAAACAATGCTCGTATTCTAATATCAGGCTCACTTAAACTTTTCAGTGACCGGTAAACTTGTTTGCCTCTTTAACATATTGTTCTTATAGCTATTGAAGGGCTGTATTGTTTTTTGTTGATTACAAAAATTCAGTTTCTTTGTTCAGATTTTTTAGATCAAGCTAAGAGTGCAAAAGGCTGGTAGCTCTACTAGGTAAATAGAGCTTTGATTTGGATCTTTCTGGGTTAATAGCATTTTATGTAGAGACAACAAAACAACTATCGTGTGATTCTTGCAATCAATTCAATCAGCTGCTCCATTAAGCAATTGTAGTTTTTATCCTTTTTCTTTTTAAGGTTTCCGATAATGATGGTAAATTGCTACAATTAGAGCTTTACTTTCTCAACTGTGAACTTTAGGATTCCGAAGAAGGTTACTAGGAGAGTCTAAAGCAAATTAGCTCTAGTAAGAATACATAAGAACTTATCACCCTAAATAAGATCCATTGTTGTACAAGATGCATTAGTGACTTTTGTGGTTGCTTTCAAAACTTAGTACATATGCTGTTTATTTTATCCACTTTTGGGCTTGTTGCAAATTTTCTTATTATTGGACTTGTTAGTGGATCTTAATCCTTGCAATATGTTTATATGTCTATGTAAGTACTTCTTGATTTATAAAGTGAATGGTTTATGGGAGGATTATTTATTTTTTCTTATCAAAATGTTTCTGTACTCATTGGGCAATTAAATGCTGGTGAAATATCTCATGCACCAATTTTCTTAATGGTTTTATGTGACAATCATTGTTTTGCTAACATACTCATCATTCATGTATCTAACAATCTATATCATGCATATCACTGACATTATCTGAATTTGTTCTTAAATAATTATTTATTACTAGATGCTCAGGTCATTGCTTTCTTTATTTTCTTCACTGTGTTTACTGTATACCTTTCTGGACAATATTATTGTTTGATTCTTCTGATTAATACATACCTACTTAATTACTTGGAATATGATTTTGAAGTAAATTATTTCTATTATTTGTAAATTAAGGGAAATGCTTCTTGTTGTAACAGATTTGACAAATCCGGCAATGAGCAGTTTGTGACTGAATTTAGCAAATGGATTTTCCATGTAAGTTGCACTGCTGTATATTGGTTGTATTACTTGAATTAATGAGGAAGCCCAAGTTTATCAATTTGATAAACTTGAAATGTTTATCAAATAGTAATTTGGTAATTATTTTGCATAGAATCTCGTGCTGGCTAATTAAAAAATATTTTCATCCTTTTTTTAATCACGTGCTGAAGATTGGTCCCTAATGACAGAAGTTACTCATCTTCTCCCTCTAAACAGAAGAAAGAGAAATAAGACCCAGGTTCTCCATTCAACAATGGCGGAAGGTACCATTTTCATCACCATATTTTCTTCAACAATGAAGTCGTCAATTGCAATAATGATCCTTCTTCTTCTTCCTCTTTCCTCCTCCATTGAAGCTCACATAAAAGGCGACACCATTAAAGACGGTGACATTAAAGATGACGCCATTCGGCGCCGATATAAACGAAAAACCCTACAAATAAGGGTGAAATTAAGGGCATGGTCAACCCCAAAGGGTAGGATGACCATGTCCTCCATTAAAGCTAAAATTGGGTTTGAAGATTGAATTTCTCCATTATAATTTTCTGAATTTTTTCCATTATACATACACCAAATTGGAAGAAAAATCGACTTACAAACTCACTAGCGTTTAGTCGACTCGCCGACTTTCTCTAGTGAAGAAGATGAATTTGCTTGTAAATTTTGACTCACGACAAGGCTAACGCTGTTAGTTGAATTTGCCTAACAAAAATATTAAATGGCAAAATTGTCCCTACTATTCATGAGTAAATAGTCCAATATACCCTTTGATAAACAACTCATGTTTATCATATTGATAAAGTTGAATTTTCTCATAATTAATTGGGTTTATATAAAAAGAATGTGGATTAAAGGATGGACCTCACATGTTCCTTTCACATGTGATTTTGTCTCTCAATTTTAATTTCAATTTAACCATTTGTGCCGCCTCTTACTTTAAGAAATTAATACAATGAAATTGACCCTATAAGTAATATACTTGCGTGTAAAATGTTCATTTTATGCAAAATTTTGGTGCTTCTACCCTAATTATTGGATGGTCTTGTACACTTTCCCTTAAGCATAGGATATACACATAAATTAATTTTTAAAATGTATGTGGTTGTTAATTATTGTAGTGGACAGGGGACGTTTCGTGGAAGGTATACAATTAAAAGTGTAAATTTGGGTGCGTGAATCAGGTTTGATGAGGTGAATAAGTTGGATTCATTTTCCATTCGAGTGATGCTAAATTATTGTATCCATAAAAATTAAAATATGAATCGCTTTTTTCAGCTTAATTTGAATTGGGTTGATCGAATCAGTTTTTGACACCTCTAAATATTGTGACTTGCAACTATACAATTTTTTCAAAGAATCCTGGAGTAATAGGTATTTTATCTACAATTTTTTCAATGAATCCTGTAGTAATAGGTATTTTATCTACAATTTTTAACGCGAAATTTTGCGACCTAGCATAATTTTTCACCAACGAACAAATTTTACGATAATCCATTAGATATATTATCATGAATTAAAGCCTAAAAAATTTCCCCCCAAAAAGAGGAGATAAACCTTGATTTTGAAGGTAGATTTTAAATATTATTATAAATTTATAATAAGGATTCTCACGTTCTCCAAATTCACTATGTGTTAATTATTATTATTATTAGAAACTTTTTGTAAAGACTAATGTAGTATTGTAGCTAATGAGCCAAATTAGATTTGGTTATACATATATTTGAGATAAACTAATAACGTAATATCTCACAACCGTACAAAACGTTTATTTTAAAGATGACTATCATAGATTTATCCTTAAATTGTTAGTGGCTCGTGAATTGTAGGGTATGTTTTTTGGAAATAAATCAATTTATAAATAAAAAGTCATATGACATCTACAAAGGAAATATAAATTAACAAATACAGAAAACTGAATCAAATTAGGGTTTCCTTCATCAAAGCTACGATCGTTGAATAGATAACCTTGAACTATGGTCTATTTGACACACATTGCTGGAATATATAACCTTTTAAAAAAACAGTCAAACGATTTGTTGTAGCCGTAAGGATGATTTTCATTTGATTCATTTGAACGTATTTGAAAACTTGACAACCGTTGCGATACCGAATAAATCTTTACCAACGAACTGATAATAAAGCAAAAGATGATTACCTTTTTTTATTAACCCTAAACATAAACAAACAACTAAATTAATAAAAATTAACAACTCCACCATATATAGGAAGACGTTCGAATATCTGCACTACTCATTTATATTTATTGAAACCTAAATTGCAAAACTAAAGAAAATTAAGGAAATAGGATCGAAAATAGTCTAATTTTTGAAGAAAAAAAAATAGACTATTTCCGGCCTAAACGGCAAGTATTTGGAGAAACTCTATAATAGAGGAGGAGAGGAGAGGCGAGAGTTACCTGTGAATTATAGTTAGTTTCTAACAAATTTATAGAGCTTCCCTCCCAGTCCTTAGAGGTATTGGGATCGATTCTCACCCCGCCCTTGTGGCTCTCTTAAAAAAAATCTAATATATATATATATATATATATATATATATATATATATATATAAATAAAGTAGGCATTTTTCGAGACCATTTGGCGTGCCACATAAAAAAAAGGGTATTATATGTCTAATGAAAAATTAGATTAATAATTTATTTTAGAATTAAAAAATTTACTCGCCACCTAAGCAAAAGTGACGAATAAGATTTAAAAATTTTGACACATAGGTAAAAACAATAAATAGAGAATAATTAAAACTTAAATTATTTTTAAAAACCAATAATTATCTTCTCAAAAAAACAAAAAAAAAGTAATAATTATTTTTTTTACATATATGGATGCAAATTTTTAATCGCAAATATCTTTAATCTCTCCCTAGAAAATATTATAAAAATTTGATTCTAATAATGTATTCATCGAGACGAATAAAACTAAATCTCATATGACTAATTTCCGATGATATTTTATATTTAAACGATTATAAATGAGACTAACATTTTATACAGAACGAGTATATTAAATAAACGTATAGACAAAATACTTATTTTGATCAATAAATAAAACAAGATTTGTCATTTCTTTTTTAAATTAAAATTTTAAATTGTCACATAAGCAAAATTAGTGAATAAGGTTTGGGATTTTAAATTCAAGCGTCACATAAAATAAATAAAACAACAAAAGATAACTTTACTGTTAAAATTAAAAAAATTTCTTATGATATTAGGAATTTTATCCATATATTTAATGAATAATCTTCATAAATATGCACAATTTTATATTAAATAAAATGATTACTAGAACCGTTCGTCGCACGGACTTACATCTAGTTGTAATTATTACAAACCCAAAAAATAACGGAACTAAACTTTTACTGATGTATTCTGTATTTATATTTATCAATCACATGATTAATAAAAGGATAATTTCTTGAGTAACGTATCATTATGCCTAACAATTTGGTTAACTAATACTACGGTAGCTCAATAATAAAAAATAGACATGAAAAATGTTATGTCCATAGAAATTCGATTATGGCTGGAATTTACAATTATATATTTTATAGCTGAAAAAGCGATACCGAATTCATGCTAATAAAGTAGTAAGTTGGATTACTTTCTTGATTTGGTTAATCATATTCTTGATTTGGTTAATCATATGGGTTAGGTTAATTAAGAGCAACTCCAATGTAAGTTACGGTGTAATTAGCGAATTAACTAGGTTTTTATGCCACATAAGATTTTAGCTAATCTCTTTTGTACCTAGTTTAATTTGTCATAATAGTTAGCTATTAGCTTTTAATTTAAATTTTAAATGAGCCTTAAAATCTTATTAGCTTTGAAATTTAGTCTATACTTATATATTAAAAGCGTACCTAATATAAGATATGTGCCATATGACACCCTTCACATGTATTATAAATATGCCACATCTATTGTACTATGAACATGTTTCAATTACAATAAAAATGTTTATCATCACAAGGTTTGAACTCAAGACCAATAATAAATGAGAAAATATTCTTACCAACTTTGCTATATGTTTTCATTATATTTCATATTCAATTATAATACACTAAATACTTTAATTTATACAAGACATCAATTTAAGAGCGTTTATTTAATTTCATGATTTCATCAATTATAATTGTCAACTTAATTTTTTGGGAGTTATATAGTTTATGACTTTATAGCCCAAATAATATGTATTGATATTCAAAGCAAAATCCGGTGCATTATCCGGAGCCACACACTAGTTTTATTATTATAGTAACTATTCATTTTGACAAATTTTTTCTCAAGCAAATTAACTTGACTGCTTGACCGAGTTAATTTAATTTTTAAGCTCCAATGTTCAAATTAGTAGCTAGGGAATTTTCTAAATTGCAAGATAGTCCCTAGCTAGCAGCATTGAAGATGGTTAAGACTATAAAATGTAATATAAATTTATATATATCTTTTTCATCTTGTTTGTCCATTATTCAAAATTCTATGGAGTCGATTTTCTATATTCATGAAGCAAATTAAACACTGTATTTCCCTTTATAGTTCTAAATTATATAGTATATACTTCATATAAACCAATAAAAAAAACTTAGTAAAATACAAGTAGATATGTTACACTATAAAATTAAGCTTCTTATAGATAACTGCAAGCATTAAAAATGCTTGTAGTAAAAAGTACACGCACAAGCAGCAATGCAAAAACTTTAAGTACAACCATGATAGTTTTCTTTATAAATACTCCCATGGGAAAAAAGACGTCCTAGTACAATATTATGTACAATGAACATGTTAAAGAGGTAACTAATATACAAAACCTTAAACTCTGCGAGAAAAAAAGTGACTTGAAATCGACATGCTCGAAAATGAAGAAGTTGCCGAGGAAGGAGAAGTAGAAGAAGATTGAGCAAAGCTAGGAGCATTAGTAATATTGTTGTTATTCTTCAACGAAAACGAGTCCGTATTATTATTGAAATCTCTATCTTCTTCATGGATGGTGTCTAACATCTTGGACGCTCTATGTCTCCTCATAACGTTAACAAATTGAGGTGGTGCAACTTCTAATGCAACCCTTGCTATCCTAGAAGTTGCCATTTTAGGAGAGTGATCAAGAAATTTAATTAAGGTGTTTGGTTATATATGTGGTTAGTTAATAAGAAAGATATTTAGAATAGAGTATTACTTGAGATGTTTTGATGAATGGAGAGAAAGAATTGATTGGGTTTATATAGAAGGGATGTGGATTAAAGGATGGACCTCATATGTTCCTTTCACATGTGAAATTGTCTCACTATTTTAATTTTAATTTAACCATTTGTGCCGCCTATTACTTTTACTAATTAATGCAATGAAATTGACGTTATAATAAGTACGTAATAATCTTGCATGTAAAATGTTAATATTTATTGAAAATTTTGGTGATTCCACTCTAATTATCGGATGGTCATGTATACTTTCCCTTAAGCATAGGATATACATATGTATTAATTTTTAAAGTGTGGACGGCACGGTGTTCCGTGGAAACAATGGCTCGTGACCATATTTTCTAATAGAGGATTTATCCACATTTTTTAAACACATAATTCATATATTTTCTATTTATTTTTTATATTAATGTTTATTTTTAATGGGAGGAAGTATAAATCACACTAGGTATTTGCTAGTTATAATCTTTAGGGATGGTATTAAAAAATCATAGATCGAATCTTTTCTTCACCATTGCCTTGTCTCTCTGTTAAAATAAATAAATAAATAAATAATGCAATTGACATAATTGATATATGTCCATCGTCATTAAATAAGTATTTATATTCATTGAAATTATTTTTATATGTTTTTTTCATCCAATAATTT